CGGGGCCTCCGACCCATTCGTCCACCGAAGCCCCCACCACCGAAGAGAGCCACTCCCTCCGATCTTCAGCCTTCCATCCCTCGGCAGTGAAGCTGGCCACCGCATCCTCCGGGGCTCTAGAGACGGCCTCTTCTTGAGCAGCGCGGGCTTCATCAGCAGCAATGCGGGCGGCCTCGGCAGCAGCCTCCCTGGCCCTGACCAGGCCCTCATTCACCCCTTCGGCCCTCGCAGCTTGCACCCGCTGCTCCATGCCATCGGTAGCCAGGCGAAGAGAGTCCTCAGCCTCGGCAAGTTTCTTCCTGAGGAGGGCGGCCTCCCCTTCGGCTGCGCCTTTCGCCTCCCTCATTTGCTCCACCCTCCGGAGGTGCTCGCAGAGGCCCATGAAGCTCTACAATTCACAAGATGAGATATGATGAACACATTACAAGAAAAAAGAAAAAAAACAACAACGAACAAGGAAAGGATAGGTATGACTTACGGAGGCAGTGTTCAGAAGGATCTTCGCCTCGAGGGACCCCTCGTCCAACCTGGCGAGGGCCAAGCGGTCAGCCGATGGCAGCATCTGGCTCATCAGTGCCGAAGGGTTCAGGCTGCCCTCCAATACAGAAGCCCCCTTCGGCACTAGCGCCTCCAGTTTCTCCCGCCCGAAGAACTCCTGATTGATATGCTCCTGGGAGGTGGGGGCAGAGGCGTGCCCTTCATCCACAATCACAACCACGTCGGTGGTCGGTTGCTTGGCGGGGGCGGCGGTCTTTCCCTTGTCAGCATTCTTCTTCTTCGCGGGCCCGGCACCTCTGGACCCTCCGGCGCCAGCACCGGCGGCAGCAGCTTGGGAGGGCTCCTCCCTGGCAGAAGTGCCCGTCGGGGCCTTCTTCTTCCCCTTCACATTCTTTAAGGCGAAGAGAGAGCCCACGCCCATGTTATTACCTGCAAGAAAAAGACACAGAATGGTTAAACCGAAGGGTATCGGTTACAATGGCATAAAAGAAAGAAAAGAAAAGGAATGTATGAAGGAAAACTATCAAGGTACAAATGAACCCTTAGATAATCACCTCCGGCTCCTTCGAAGACTCGATCGAGGGGAGGGTATTTTCATCCGAAGAACCCCTCAGCCTGAACTGCCGGAAGCCAAGGCTAAGCAATTCCTCGGGGAGGGTGACGTCCTTAATCTTGACGTGTTTATCAGACCCCTCCGGTTTTTTGGCAAGCACTTTGCCATTCTTCTCCAGGGCTGCGCTCCCTACCTTCGGGTGGCGCCGGAAGCTGTTGCGGAGCTGGGCCGGGAAGGGGTTCTCCTCGAGACGAATGTAGCAAAATCGCTCCTTCCACCCCTTGTGGGACGAGGGCACGTCATCGAAGAGCCTGAACTCCGGTACCTGCTGAAGGTTGGCAAAGCCCTCAGCATTTGAATGCCCCCCGGCAGAGGTTAAAGGACATGAAGAACTGGTCAAGGGTAGGTTCAACCCCCGGCTCTGGCACAGGGAGAGGAAGCCGGCCACGTAAGAGTGGCTGTTGGGCGTTAGCTGGCAGGGGGCCAACCCCACGAACCTCAAATTTTCTAACAAAAAGGGATGAAGCGGAAAGCGAAGCCCCATCTCCACAGACAGCGTGTGAATAGCAAAACACCCTTCGGGTGCATATTGCAACAGGTCATCCGCTCCGGGCTCCACCACGCGCGCCGAAGGACCGACCAAGATCTGAGTAGCCTGGTACTCTGCCGGGGACGCCCTCGTTTTCAGCTCCAGGGCAGCGGTGTTCAGGAATGAGTGGCCCTCGGGTATGCCTACCGGCCGCCCGGTGTCAACAACCGCTTGTTTCTTCTTCGGGGCTGCCCTCATCTTCTTCTTCTTCCCGGGAGCCACACTGATGGGCGTCGGGTTCAATGGCCGGGAGGAGCTGGATTCCCTGACACCACGAGGGGGAAGAACGGCAACCGTCACCTTCGTCCTCTCCCTCTCCTCTTCCTCTTCGGCAGTCTTCACGGCGAGGGCGAGCTCTTCGTCCTCATTTACTTGCTCGAAGTCTTCGGCTTCGACTTCGGCCTGGAGGTCTTTCTCCACCTCCATGGCCACCGCAGCATCACCACCCACCGAGGACTCCCCGCTCGAGGACTCGACGTCTGAGTACGTCTCCATCTCGACTGAAGGCTCCCCCGAGATATCCTGGGAGTCGCTTTGTGAAGACATCTTCCCACTGGGCCGAGGGCTCGGAAATGCTAAGTATCCTAAAAAGTTCTAACTCCTAGCCTAAAGGCACAGGGAACAACTAGCTAGGAGGAGAAAAGCAGGGGGGAACTAACCTTAAGAGCTGGGAATCAACCGAAGGCTGGATTTTCTCTCTCTAGAAAGTTGGGCAGAGCTTCGCTAACAATGATATCGCACAAGGGGAAGGGAAGCCGGCCATGGGGTATTTATAGGCGCTGGGATCCGGGCTTGGGCCTGGGAACCGGGCCTCCGGTTGGACTGCCATCATTACCAACCGTGGTTTCACCCAACCGGTGACGCCCGCCCACGGGCAGCCAACGAGCACACACCACGTGGCAACCCCCCAACGGCTATATCCTGACGTTAGATATTCCAACGGCTATATCTCCAACGGCTATATTCTGGGAGCTCCCGGTTACACTTGACAGACCATTCCTTCATCAACCGAGAAATTAGCCCCCGGGCTTTTTACTTCACTCCACTTGCCAAGAGACACTCCCGGTTTGTGCCCCACACACTACATAACAAATGCCTTCAGGCTCACTCCTTCAGAAGCCCACGGCTTCATAACAGGCCACCCCCTCGGGGACCCCCCCTCTCAGCACTTTGAGGTCCGGGTAGCCCCTGGGGAATGCGCCTCATTGACGGGCAGCCTACGGCAAACAGGTAACAGGAGCCCTCAGATATCCTCCTCACAAACTAAATCAACAAACAGGGGACACCCCAGTGACACTTCAACTCCTAACTCACATTCATGACGCCCTCGATCCCCAGATTGAGGGACTCCCCTTCGGCACCTCCCAGGAAATCAACAGCATGCCCCCGGCTAATCAACACATGAGCCCTCAGACTAAGGAAAGCCTTCGGCATCAGCATTATTCTCCATTTCGAACCAAGGTTTCACATTTTCGATTCATCGTTGGGGGAATTCGGTGCACTCTTTTTCTCTCATTAGGATTTTTTCCCACAGGGTTTTTCCTAATGAGGTTTTTAACGAGGCATCCCCCCAAAATGGAACGAAAAGCGTCAGCCTTCGGCCCAAAACAGCAACGCAACTACTCTACTCTTTTTCACCACTTTGCAAGTGCCTCAAGGAGTGGGGGACTGGAGACCCCCCCCCCCCCCCCCCCCCCCCCCCCGGGAAAAATCACAAAAATCACAAACATGACCCCTCAAGTCCCGACATGTGGGTAACTGAGGGACTGCCCTCAGCAGAATAAACAAACAGCAAACTACCCACAACACCACAAACTACAACGGAACAACGGCAGAGGACAAACACAATTACTCCTTTTCCCTCAAGTACCTTTCGGTAAAAGGAGTGAGGGACTCCTGATGGAGTATATGGCCCGGGAACCCCCGGCCCACAGACTCCTACTACTCCAATGAAGGCCCAACAGGCCCAAAAAGCACAACAGGCCCAAATCACCGCGCCCAAAGTACCAAGCAGCCCACAATGCGCACCAGGGGTGCCTTCGGCCGCCTGGTCGAAGGCTCTAACTCTCACAGGAGGGCCAAGACAGGAAAACAAAGTTACTGGGAAAAACGGCGAAAATCAGTAGCCCTCGGAAGTTGGAGCCCTCGGCACCAAGGGGGTCCCCGGTACTCAGAGCCCTCGGCTAGTCATCTACTTCCGAGGGCGCCTCTTCCGACATAATATCCGCTCCACATGCGTATGGATCACCGTACCCCGTACAACGTCCCATTTGAGGTGACATCTCGGCCAATGGACGCTTGACACGTGTCCCTGTCCGGCATTTATTGCTACTATAAATAGCACCCCATTCCCCCATTTGTAACCAAGTGACGATACACACGCTGCATACTTTCTAATATACCTTCTCTCTCTACTTATTTGCTCTGACTTCTCTCTTGTTATTCCCCGTAATAACCCCTCGGATAAGCTACCCCCGGGTACACTATCCATCATTAAGATAATCACGTCACTTGCATATCAGTGTAACTGGCAGATTGATTACATAATCAAAAAAGAATAACACGAAGTTCATCCAAATAAACATGATTCATTAAAAACAAGTTATAATGATAAACAACAATCTTCTAACGATGTAAATATATTTTGCGATTCAAACGAATAAACACACCGATTAGAGATTCAGCTAAACTTGATTTCCGATGCTTAACTCTGCTTTCTTCCTTGGTTTCGATTCGAAGTGAACAGTAGATTTGGAAGCGGTTGATTCTCTCGATCTTTTCTAATAGCAGACCGGTAATGTTTAGTATGCCACGTGTATTTCTAAAAGACGGAAGATACTTGCTGCTGTGAGTTTCCAGTTTTGTTACCACTAGGTCAGTTTTTTGTCTATTTTTAATTGGACTCACTTTTTTGGAATTGGGCCTCCGTTTAGTAATATTGGTGTCCATTTCCCTAATTGTTATAGTTGTGAATGTAACTCTTGTAGTAAACTCTAGTCCTGGACACTAAAACTAAAGAATTAAAGCTTCAAAAAGATTAACATCAATCAAAATAATGAGAGAAATCTTATATTTTGTTTTGGTTTAGTTTGGTGGAAGTTGATTTTGATTTGTTATTTAAAAAAAATAAGAAATTATTTCATTTTTAGATTAGTTCGATTTTATTCGGTTTTATTCGGTTTTATGATTTCAGTTCGATTTGATTCGGTTTAATACGGATTGGGAGGATTACTACCAAATTCAAACCAAATTACAAATAATCGGTTTCGGTTCGGTTTAATTTGGTTTGGTACGGTTCGGTTCGGTCAAACCGAACTCTTATACCCACCCTAGTGAGATGTGTGATTGTGTGAATAGCCTCTTAAGTTAACAATAAAAATAAAAAGGGCAAAGCAGTCAACCGATAGTTACATTAAGGAATATTTGGGGTGCGCAAAGCAAGCCCCAGAATATATCCCTGAATCAAACCCAATGAGGTTCGTGCTACCGTAATTTTTAGGACGATCCGGCGGAGGAGGATGGTGAATAGTTGGTGGCAAGTGCACTTTGACAATTACAGGAATATTGACTCTAATTTGAACCGGAATATCACATTTGTTAATGGAACCCAAGAAAGTTGTCATCGCATCGGAGGGAGAGGAACAAATCCAAGGCGAGAAAATTAAGGCTTTACAGTGGGAAGATTATGAACAAGAGCTTGCCCGTCTATGCAGTCTCACAGCTGCACATAATGAATCTATGCAGAAGAAGCATTTGCTTGAAGAAAAAATTCAGTCAATCTTGAGGGTATAGCCTTTCTCTTTCGACTGCATAAATAAATTGATTTGCCTTCTTTTGGGCAATTTAATTCTTTGGGAAATCTTGAGGGTACAATTTCTGGTGTGACACTTTTGAATAGTTGGAACTTGGAACATGGAGACTTGGAACATGAAGTCAAATTTGTAGTAGTAACATCTCAACAACTAGCTGAACCTAGGCTTCAACATTTCCTTTGCTTTTTTATTGTGTTCGTTGCCATCTAGTTTTCTATGTATTAGTACCTGGATCTCTTTAGAATGGAGTTTTTCTTAAATTGTGCGAAATGTGTTTGCTTAGAAAAGAAAAAGAAAAGTCCTAAAAAGGAAGAAATGAACAAATTGATTATTAGGACACTAACCGTCTCCCTTACTCAATTATGTTGTTTCATGGATGCGTACAATATATACTGCGTATTTGACTAGAGATCAATTCAACATGTTGGAATTTTGATGAGGGACAGGTTTGAGCTCGAAGAGGTAGTACATTTTGATTTAATTTTAGACAGTGTAACAGTGGTGCTAAACTAGAGTTTAACGAAAGTATTTATGAAGGTAGTTACGTGATTGCACCATGAATATACATTACTATGTTCTTTTGCCATGAATAATATTTAGAGCACTTGACCCATCGTGCATCACACAAATGACACATCTGATTTCCTTTATGAAATTTAAAGTTTAATTGTATATACTATTTGTGAAAATTATTAAAAAAAATCAACGTGAGCAAGTGGGACAGTGTTCTCTTCTTATTTAGATATTTTGCAAGCTCCATTAAGATCCTGTCATCTCATTTCAAGGCATCTGGGACCAATAGCTACATTTTAGACTTTTAGTTAGACACTCAGTTACTGTTATTTTCTCAATCACTAAGTTGAAAATGATATTTTCCTTTTTTAGCTTTTTTGCTAACCATTTAGACTCTTTGATATCTGTGTATTTGTAATGTACTCTACTACTCCTTTACATTGAGCTTTTATTGGACCTTCAGTAAGTATGTGTTCTCCAGGTGGAAGCAGAATCATTGAATTTGTCAAATGAGCTTGATGAGATGAGAGAAACATTAGAGCACCGGAAATTAGTGATGGGAAACACATCAATGAAATCAAAGGTCTTGAAAGAGAAAGTAAAAAAGGAAGAAGAACAACTTAGTAATGATATCAGGTCTTTGTTGGTTGCTGGAACAGCTCTTTCTTTAGCTAAAAAGCGACTGCAGGTATCATAATTTGCATCTTGTTTCGTTTCATTATCAAGTTTTCAACTCATATGTCTTCTTTTGTGATTTTATGTTTTCTCTTAAACCTATTTTTTATTTTTTCTGGTTTTTGAACTTGCTAGATATTCGTTGCTTACTCATACTTCAATTTACTGCATGTCTTATTTGGTTTTCTTCTAATCGTGTTTCCCTTCATTTTTGGACTTACCAAACATTGGTACTTGTTCATACTCGAATCTGCATGGAGGGGTGCTATTTCTAAGTTCATTACAGCTTAATTCCTTAGTTAAAAAGTATTACTCTGCACTTCTTATCATTATGGCTTTTCTATCAGATGCATAAACTTCATTTCTCTTAAAATCTTCTGCCCTTCTGGTGGCACCGAGTTACCAATTTTAGTTCTCAATTTTCTGTTAACAATTTACACAATTAGTAGAATACTATGCAACAATATACTCATGGTTTTAAAAGGCGCGTAATAGGCGTGCCTCATACAATAGGCGTTCAAAAACATTATTTCATGACTCGTGTGTGGCGTATGGCAAATATTTACTGTATTATTGATACTACATTATAAATTGCTAGTAATTTCAATTTGTAAAGGATGTTTGGCATAAAGTTTGCCTCGCCTTGCAAATGCAAAATACCTTAAGGCTTAAAGGCGTCTTTTGTAAACGTCGTACATAATATACTCCATTGGTTCCAAATAGTCTTCCTTTTTAAAGTGGCAATCCCTGTACAATTTAAAGGATGTGGTTGAAATGGAAGTGTGTTTGAGATTTGGGTTAGCATGATTGAAACAATATCAACCACACACTTCTTTCCTAAAAATCAAACATGAAGAATATTTTGGGACTGACTAAAACGGAAATTATAGAGAACATTTCAAGTTGGAGAAAGTATCTTTTAAAATTACAAAAGAATCTGGTTAGAAAAAATTGGCACCATTTTATAGTTTCTACTTTAGGAGAGCATTAAATTGATATGAATGTTCACTTTTCTGTCTAACAACAACAACATCCAATATTTCATCCAGGGGCACTTTTCATATTCAGAACTGCTGCCATTTCTTACGTTTTTTGAAAACATGACTCTTCAGTTCCTCCTACCATATTTCACGTAAAAGTAGTAGTCCTACAGGAGCACTTTTCATATTTCAGGTTATTATGTAGAAAGGAGTCCAAAGGACTACGTGCAACCTTTTTGTGTTGATGTTAATTAGTTGACTGTATTTTTATCTTCAGTTTTTACCCTGTAGAAACAGGAGTCAAGAGAATGGGAATAGTATATACATATTGAATTAAGGGATCAAGACACTTTTTTATACAAGATAGAGATGCTATTGCAGGAAAACAATTCCTAACCTTTTAGTAGTCCCTAAGATATGTGTGCTTCTATGCAGGATGCTAATAGATCGCTTACTGGGGAAATGGGCTGTGGACATTTGAAATCCATGCAGAGACTTGTGAGGCTAAGACAGCAATTTATGGTATCACAGATTCAATTGCTTTATCCAGTGAAAGTAGGAGCAGGACTGGAAATTGAACAAGAGCTGGAATCATTCACCAATATTGTCAGATCAGGTACTGTTCTGCTTTGTATGTTGTTAAGGTGTTTTACTTTTCTGAATCATTCACCAATATCATCATTCATCAAATCAGGTACTGTTCTGCGTTGTATGTTAAGGTGTTTTACTTTTCTGAATAACAAGGCTGCTTGTATGTTATGATAATTTTAAAAAGGGAAAACTTACGATTAGGTCCTCATACAGTCGTACTATGTCAAAAAAGTCAATTAGACCATCGTACTTTGGAAAAACTCAATTAAACCCTTGAGATTTTAAAAATGCTCAATTGAGCGGTTTTGCGTTAACTGTACACTTGGCAGACCACGTGGCAACAAATTTCTTTTCTTTTTCTTTTTCCTTTTCTTTTCTATTTTCTTTAAGGGCACGTGGATAAAACTTATGAAGTCAAACGATGAAATTTGCGAGCGAGTGAATGAGCAAAGACTTTGAAGAAATGTGAAGATTTTAGAGAATCAATTTGGTTTTACGCCTGGTTGCTCAACAAGTGAGAAACATTCATCTTCTTAGGCAAGTTATGGAAAAGGAGTATGCTAGAGTATCTCGAGAAGTCCTTTAGTGGCCTTAACTGCAAAAGGCATATCACGTAAGTATATCATCATCATCATGAATATGTATGGGGATTGTATTACAAATGTTCCTACTATTGTAGGGAGGACTACAAAGTTCCCTACTATCATATTGGTCATGGATGAAATCACAACGTCAATCCAAGAAGATATACCGTGGTGCATGATATTTGCCGACAATATTGTGTTGATTGGTGAGACAAGATCAAGTGTTAACGCCAAGTTGGAAGTATGGCAAAAAACTTTGAAGAACAAGAGTTTCAGGTTGAGTCAAAACAAGAGAGTGCAAGACTGAGTATATAAAGTGCAAGTTTTGTGGAGGTAAAAACAATGGTAACAATGGGATTACCTTGGATGGTAAGGAGATATTGGTCAGTGATATGTTTCGTTATTTGAGCTCCATAATTCAGAAGGATGGTAAAGTAGAGGAAGATGTATGTCATAGAATCAAAACAGGGTGGATGAAATGGAAGAGTGCTTCAGAGTTTTATGTGATCGAGGTATGCCGATTAGACTAAAGTGTAATGTTATTTTTAAAATATGAGTGTGGCCGAGATGCGTGTGTGATGTTGGATGCATAAATGTACTGAGATAGTCCATTCGAGAAATGAGATAATCACACAAAACATGAGAGTGATACCTATTGACGATAATATGTGAGAGTCTCGGTTGTGGTGGTTTGCAGATTCGCCACGATGTCGTCTAGGCCTCTAGTCGCTGGGGCCATGAGCCATCACCTCGCTGGAAGAAGAATAGACAACCATGGCCTCCTCCTGTCATTGTCCAGTCGTCGGTTTGGTGACAAGGCGTTAGCCAGAGCATAAATAAGAGATTAATCGTAAAATAAAATAATCTTTCATAGTCCGAACCGAAGGCCCAGATTTAGATTTTAGAAACAAAGTTTTAGGCAACTAATTTAATTAGGACTTTAAATAAAGCCCAAGTCTTACTTGACCATTCGTAAAGTCAATCGTCTAACTACTGTTCTGAATTCTGAACATCTGAAGGCAATCCAACACCGTTCCCAGGTTTTATGGGCTAATCCGGCGCTTCTCTTTTATTTTTAGTTAAATGTTCTTTTTGTTTCTTGTAGCAGTACAATACCCGCATGTGAGCTACTCAGAATTGTCTGAGCGTGTACCTTTTCTTCTTGCAGTATGTAGTATTGTATTGTGTGTACCTTATCTAAGACTGCAAGTGGACAAGTGGTATGTTTTTTTGGGGAGTGGGGAGTGGCCGGGTGGGACAAAATTAAATCTTATATATATGTAGTAATATGTTGCGTAGTATATTATATAGCATACACAATTTATGTATCAGATTGTTGTGGAGTATGGATTTGCTCATGGAGTGTAGCATATCTGATGCAGTTTTATAAATATGTAGCCATGTAGGTTGGTGTTTTGTTATGGACTCGTGGTTAATATTGAATTGGGATATAAATATGTTCTTCACTTCTTTGTTGTGTTTCATAAACATATTTTTATTGCAGTTTATCAATATTAGTATATTAATATATTTAGATTGAATATTTATTCCCAAATGATTTTGGGAATGAGGCTTGGATGTTGTTGTTGTCGTTGAATAATTATATATATATAATATTATAAAAATACTGCATCCTACCAATGCGAACTTGTTATCACGAGAACTTTTAATCACAACCTTTTATTCAATTCAATCATTGTTAGGATGCACATGGGGTACTTTGTGTAATTATTGAAAGTTCAAATGGGGTCTTTTTTGTAATTATTGTAGAGTTATTGCAAAAATGCCACCTTATTAATTCTAGCCATTGATTCCATAAATCAAGGGTGCTGATTAGAAGTTCTCATCCATAAACGGGTTCTCATTTTAAAGGGAGTTCTCACTAGAACCCTCCCCTATATATAAACATATATTCACCTTTCATCCAAAAAAACACATACACACTATATATGTATGTGTATATAAATGCATTGAACTAAGGATTATGCCTAATTGTGCAATACGCCATCTTAAGAAACCGCCACAACTATGTAATGCACATTTTTGAACAACAGTTCATATGAGAGTGACATCATCGGAGCGAAATGAGATTAATATAATGCACTGAATTCAAGATCAAAGGCTTAAAATCATTAGTCTTATTTTCCTTTTCTTTTTTGGTGTCAATAAATTAATTTGAATGATGTATTTAGTTTAGAATACTTAAATTCGAGGTATTAGAATATGTAATTTGATTTTGATTAAGAACATCTCATAAAGTTAAAAATATATTTTGGACTTTTCATTTCATATGATTTTTATGGAACTTTGGGAAATATCGATTCATTAAATTGATTGGAACATCTAATTATAATATATTCTAAATCTAATTACACAATTTAAGTTATTTTTATTTGTAGGTATAAAAAATAAAGGGAAAAGGAATACTAATGGCTTTCATTGACGGAATATGATAAACCTTAGGCGGGTTTCCAAAAATGACCAGAAAACGTTAAATTCGTGCTTATTTGGTCTATTTGTAACCTTAGTGTCCAATATGAGAATCACATGTAACCATAATGTCCAATTTGGTCCATTTGAAACATTAGTGTCAAATATGATATTCATGTGTAACTATGGTGTCCAATTTGATCTTTATCCCAAAGAATTAATGACAAATGTTTTGCCAACTTTAAAAAAATGATGATTTGTTATTGTGGCAGCGCAAAAAATGCAGTATTTGACACATAAGAGTGCACCATAATGAATCGAAAGTGCATCATTTGCATGTGAAGAGCAATTATCACGATCACCGCTCCCTATGTGTATGCGTACACACAACATGCACATGCAAACTTTAATGCGGAAGATGTAATGATTGGATGTGCATTGTTATTTACATAGGAGTGACAAAATGTGCCTTCGTGAAGAAGCATAGTGGGGGTATACCCAAAATGTGCAGAAGTACACACTACATTATGTAGAGGAAATAGTGCGTTTGTTTATGCAGAGCATGTCATTGTTCAGATAAGACTGCAAAAGTGCATTGTGCACAGCTGTTTGAACTTAAAGCACCGGTCTTACATTTTATATGCTAGACGGTCAAGTTTTTTTTTTTTACTTTGGTATTCATACTCGATAGGTTCTGCGATTCATAGGGCTCTAACATCTTGAATGTTTTCTACCACTATACAGGACAAAAACCTCTAGATCAAGGGTCCTTGACAATTGCAGGTCTGCATCTTACCGTGGTTCCTTTTACAAAGAAGAGTTTTTTCACTGATAAGAAGGAGGTTCAGAGGTCTGCAACTGCTCTGGGATATGTTGCACATGTGTGTTCTCTCTTTGATTCATTTATATAATTGATAGCTCCACACTCTTATTTGAATTTCGGAATTGATTGGTATTTCCTTCTTACCAAACATGGTAGACCATGTCAGCCCAATACAATCTTTCAAAGTCTGCGAATCACCGGTCTTTAACGTGTACATATGCTATTTGATGGATGTCCCACCCTGCATTAGCATGACATTACTAGTGCACTAGCATATTTTGATCTTCGCAATTGACTTATTGCAGGCCGTCTCACTTATTGCCTGCTATTTACAAGTTCCTCTTCGCTATCCTGTGAGATTAGGAGGTTCCAGATCATTCATACGTGATTATGCGCCTTCAATTGAACCGCCACCACCTTCGTCATTATCATCAGATGATGCATCATCGTCTTTACTCTCCACAATTTTGAAACCTGTAGAATTTCCCCTCTTCTTAGAAGGGCAAGATTCAACAAGAGCAGCATATGCTGTTTTCCTTCTAAATAAGGTTTGTTTGTTTCTTGGGACCTTTCCTCTTATTCTTCTATCCTTGTTCATGTTCAATTGTTCAAATACTCGTTTAGAGAGACCTATAAATGGATGGTTTGGATGTAGAGCCATATGCCTAGCAGCTCCCTGTTAGGAATGGGGAGGCTGGATTGTCTAATGATATTGCAGACTGCAAAATCGTCATTTCTCTTTAAGATATAGTTTGGTTGCCTGATGTAATACAATATTGTAACGTGATGCTTTTACAAATAACTTCAGAAATCCAAAGAGTAATAACATACATATATTTAAATTTAAATATATGTATATGTATACTGGCTTGGTTGGATTTATTTATGTACTCCCCACTGTTTTGTAGGATCTAGAACAACTTTTGAATTATACCGGGACAAGAAGTTTAGGGCCGCGCCACGTACTTGCAAATTTGAAGGAGCTATTGAGAATCATTCTTGCTCCGGAGTATACGAATACATGAATTGTGATTGTTCACTTTACAAGTTTGATTGTAAGCTTTTGTAGATATATGGTCGCTAATTTTGAGCAGGAGCTATTGAGAACCATTCTTGCTCTGGAGTATGTGGATACATGAATTGTGATTGTTCACTCTACAAGTTTGATTGTAAGTTCTTGTAGATATATGGTAGCTAATTTTGAGCACTTGTAGCCTCTTCCCCTCCTAATTCCTACATTGAGAAATGCAACTTATCAGGTTTGTAAAAAGAGATTGCAGTTTAGTGCTCTGATCTTATTTTTAATATATTGCTTGAGCATTACTGTCCTACGTGTTTTAATGCAAATGATCAACAAGTTTGTTGAATGTTTATAATTTGACTCAAGGACAATGGAAAAGGGTTTCCATAATTTTACAAGAATAGACTTTATTGTATATTAGCAGGGACTTGATAGTGTATGAGAGATTTTTATACATTAGCTAATAACTACGTGGTAGTATTAATGGAATGAAATGCAGGGCTGCAGGCCGAGTTTAAATTAACAACAACAACATTCAAGCCTTAATCTCAAAAGAATTTGGGGTCGGCTAACATGAATCGATCTATGATATCGATGCCAAACAGAGAAGACAGACAAGAAGAGATAAAAATAAAAAAAAAGAAAGGAAAAAGATAAAAAATAAAAAAAGGAGCACAAAAAGATAAAAGAGAATAAAAAACTAGACGATAAAAATAACATAGGAATATAAAAAGATAAAGAACATAAACGATAAAAGAAAAAGAGAGAAAATGTAGAAAAGACATCAATCGCCCACACGAATGTGTGGTTTCCACTTTGCTCTCTCCAAAGCCATACTCTCAGAGTCTCGGCGCTTGAAAATACAATGCCTGAAAATCATGGACCATGAAGTCGTGCAGTGTTCGAACCGTGTGCTGGGGTGCCTGGAAGTGGGTCAGGCTATACTGTCTATCCCGGTTCTGAATTGCTTTGAACTTGTCTACATCTTGTGGAGTATCACGTATCATATTCACTTTATCTAGCATCTACCATCACAAAGAAGAGTTTAAACCTGAGTAGTGAGGATGTTTGAGATTGGAATGTAATTTTTTGAGTTGGTCTGGTTTGAACTGGTATGATCTGATAGATGTGTGTTTTATGTGTATTTTACAACTTTTGAACTCTAGTATGATCTGATTTGTTTTAATCTGGTATGGGACCTTTAAACGTTTTTTGAAAATATTTTCACATGAAATGAGTACAACGAGAAACATCCTAAATACCACACAGTGATGTGTTGTCAAACACAAAACTTGTTACTTGTTCAAGAATCAAGGCACTGAAAGAATGGTTGAGAGAATACAAATAAGGTACTGTATAAGTGTTATGTGGTAGCGAACTTCAAAGCTGTTAAGAGTTTTATTCATTTAGGCACAAGTGGTTTGTGATCGGCATGAAAAGGTCATTACTTCAAAGCGCTCCTGCTATTAAGATCAGGATTAAGTAATGACCATTTAGTTGTCAGGGACTTGAGTGGCCAGTTTCGATCTCCAAAATTCCCGAACCCAAGACTGGGCAACAAATCGCTCACCCTGGTTACAATTGTAACTGGGAATCAGACGATTGATCCCAGTTATAAAACTATGACCTAACGCCCCTACTTTCATCTACACTTAAACTAGTCACGTCTGTGAGGGCTTGTGCATGTGCCAGCGAGGATGAAGTGAAGACGTTGAATGTGGCGTCAAAGGTGGCGTAGTAGCATCTTTCTTTTCAAGGGTATATACTTAAAAAATGCTCTTTGTATATGACAGTTTGTATATGTACACGTCGGTCAAATTGTCTATGTACAAATAATTTGATCAGCGTTTTATGAAGAACACCGATTTTCACACAGGTAAAATAAAAAATTTGTCTGTATCACAAACATTTTAAAATCCTTCGTTTAAAATTGTTTGTATCACATACATTTTATGAAAGATTCTCGTAACCAAGCATTCCAGCCCAGCTGGTTGTGAGGTTACCGTGCCTAGTAGGAGGTCTCAAGTTCGAAACCCGCTAGACACACAAGGGTTTGAAACTCAATGGAGTGAGTTTCAACCCTGATTACTCCAGGTTCCCCAGGCCCCTCCCCCTAGACCCCTTGGAGTAAAAAAACCGAAAGATTCTCGTATAAAATGTCTGTGATACAGATAATTTTCTTATTTGTCCGTGGAAATCGGTTTTCTTCATAAAAACCAATCACAATGTCGACATCACAGACATTTTATGAAAAAATCTCGTTTAAAATGTCTTTGATAGAGATAATTTTTTCGTTTTGTCTGTGTGGAAATCGGTTTCTTCATAAAACGCTGATCAAATTGTCTGTACACAGACAATTTGACCGACGTGTACAATGCTATGTACACGAAGCAGGGCTGATATACTTAATGATTGCTCAAGTCTTAAGAGGGGATCAGAATAGCCATCACTGTTCATTGATGAACCATAATTCATTGATTGTTACTGATTGATTGTGATTTATGAGTAAGCCAGCGAAGCGACTTTTACAGTTTTACTTCAACATGATGGCTCAAGTCATGGACGCTTACCGAAAAATCGAAAATCTGTTCTAAGACAGAAAATATTGTTTCATTAATCAATTATCAATATATTAGAACACGTGTGCTCCAATTTTTACACATATAAAGCCCTTAAATTTTAAATCTGATTTACTAAATTTATTGCAAGTTTCCATGGGAATTTGACCCACGAACAGGGCAAATCTATCAGACAAGCTTTGAGGAAAGAAACGATAGTAATTAGTATACGAATAGAATGATAATAAGAAACTTATATTAATAAATCAGCAGATGGTATTGCATCAATCTACAATGTTAATGTTGTGTAACCGTTGTATTGGAGCCATGACATCATTTCGAAATATTAATATGGTCATCTTGAAATATCAACATAACAAGTGAACATTATGAGTTTATGGCACATTTTTAGACGCTGTTTTGAACCGTTTTTTTGGAACAAACACAGTGGTATACTGGTATGAAAGTTACATTAACTAATTATGAAATCGTACCTCAATTTCTTCCCATTCTATTCCAACCCCATCATCAAAGCACAAGTTAACCCTCATTGCTTGTATTCAGATAAAATCATAAAATAATGAATGATGAATAAATAAGTTCTATAGGCAAACATCTTCACAATGCAAAGTGTTGTTATAGCATCTCTGAACTAAAAGTGTACCGAGGGAAGCATGATCTGTACGAATCATACATCATAAAAAAGTTGCGGTGCTTTCCAGTGTACAAATGACCTACTAGATGTGCCAAGGCTGTGAGAGGGTCAACAGCAACCACCCAAACAAAAATTCTAAGACATTCATTCTATGCACTTAAAGTAGATCTCTGTTCTCTCCAGGCTCAAGCCGGTAACGCGAGCTTTGTGTTGTTCTTCCAGCTGCATACATCATATAGCCTTGTCAAGCACAGTATATCCATGAGTGTAGATGGGGGGGGGGGGGGGGGGAGCCACCGTAGACCACCCCACCCCAAATACTGAAAAACTTTATTTTTTTCATGTGCAAAGTTTTAGTGTTTTACATAAATGAATTATTTTTCAGTTTTTTTCTGGCTCATCCCGAAGATTTTTTTTGGGATCCTCCAATTGTGGTGTGTATGAGAACAGCAAATGCAATTAATGTTTTTACCTTTGGAAGTAGTAGTAGAAGAAATCAGCATAAAGCAATGTCTGAACAAGGCCTGATATCCAAGCTGCATTTTGAAGACAAATGCCAAAGTGTGTTACATCTATACAGAGTACATTATTGACATATGCCATATAGTTGGCATATGTTCTGAATTGAAATTGAATGACTGCTCATCAAAGCAATAGAAAGAATGCCCAGTTTGTCAACATACTTATCCAATGAACATAGTGAGGCTCCGTGAAGTAGCGATAAATCCAGTTTAAAATGTACAAGGAGCGATATGCCCTGCAAAGAGAGTTAAAAGTTAAAAGTTGATCCAATGACTACTAAATACTACTTTTTAGAATCATAATAAAAAATACTTGCTCACTAAATAATAAAACCAATAGCAGTATTACACAATATGCATGGTAAAGTGGAAGGAGATAAAAAATTGAAGCCATATGAGAAAAACAAAGAAAAGTATAACTACTAGCATATGAATGTGTTTAATGAACCCACCTTGTCCTTTCCACACACACTACTACTAACCTCGTAATGTCTATCTAGGTATGCACATGGTGTCTATTATCAAGGTTTAAAAAGGCAGGTTCGGGTTTCAAGGCGGTTTGTTCCGAAGAGGCGAGGCGTAAGCCTTGAGGCGTATTACGCCTCAAAAAATACAGACATATAAAACTTGATATAATTAAACTAGTAACAAACAACTCAAGAAGTAAAGGATATCCATAATTATAAGTCCAAAAAGTGTGAGACACAAATACATGTGACCTATTACCAGTAAGTCACTAGGCTTCAAACACACAAAAAGAAACATCTCACAAAAACAGACACATCACAGTCTCGCAAACACACAGAAACAACCCACACAAATTGCATCACAAACAACCAGACACATAACACAATTGACATAGTTTAAAAATCTTGAAGGCTTGCAGCTTAATCATCATGACAGGAAAGCTCTTCGGAAGAATCATCATATCACCACTTAGAAAACATGAACAACAGTTTTGTAAAAGAGGGATAAGAAGCAGTGAAGGAGAAGAACAACAGTTCTGTAAAAGAAGGATAAAAAGCAGTGAAGGAGAAGAAATGAAGGAGAGGAGTTGAATAAGAATAGGAGAAAGAGAAGGGGATGGAGAAGAAGAGAGGAGAAGAAAGGTTACCTGGAAGCTTTTGGGCTGTTGTAAGGAGATGTCGCAGGAGAAGAGAGAGTTCTTTGCGTAGGTTAATAGAAAGTATACGTTAAGGTTCAAATCCTTATCAGGATTTGAATGAAATAAGACATGTTAGGGTTTAGTATATGGGCTTCTATTTAGAAAGAACTCTGGGCTTTTTATTAAATGAAATACTTGGGCCTGTTTTAAGTCACTGCGCAAGTGTTCAAGGCGTGCGCCCCAACAAACGCCTCAAGGCGTGTGCCTCAATCTATGAGGCGTAAGCCTCTTTACCTGCGAAAAAAACCTACGCCTTGATACCCAACCAGTACACCTCAGCTTGAGGAGCACCTCAGAACCCGCCTCATAAGCGCCTTTTTAAACCATGTCTATTATAAATTATGTAAATTAGTACTCATCTTACAAACTTAATTATTATTATTATTATAATTGTTGTTGTTGTTATTTA